AGGCTCATGTAGAGCCTCGTAGAACCTCCCGTGGAGCTCCTTCTCCTTCCATACGGTCTCCCGGTCGGAAATGCTCTGCACTGCCGGGTCTTGCCATTGCTCGTTGGCTAAGGATAGAGGGGTAAGTCCTTTATCACAAGAAATGACGTCCTTATAGAATGGATCATCCGATCTCGCCAGGAAGTAATCACGGAGGCTGCACACTTCGCGATTATGCATGGTGAGCGCGCTCAAGAAGCCACGACCACCATGCTTCCGCGGCAAGTACAGCCTCATTACCGACGATCTCGGATGATGCATCCTATGGGACGTTATGGTAGTGTGGACTTTTCTATCCAGGGCGTTAAGTTCAGTCTGAATCCACCTGAGTATGCCAAAGGTATACATGAGGACAGGCATGACCCAGCCGTTATATGCGTGTGCCTTATTCACACCGGACAAAAGGCTGTTAAGCACTTTGGTCAAGCGTGCATAAAACACGTCGCAAACTGACTGTTTCATACCAGTCTCATCGATACCGATGTTTTGTGACATACCCAGGTATCGGTATGTTTCAGCCTCGGAAAGGGTCCTTAAGTTGATGGGCATAGATAAGTCTACGCCCTCAGAGTTAGCAACCCTTCCACTTTCAACATGGAGGACTGCACACTTATCCGTCCCAAGCTCCATTCCAATGGAATTGCTAAATTCACAAGTGATGTTTAGCAATTCCATAAGATGGGAGCGACTGGAGGCGAATAACTTGAGGTCATCCATATAGAAAAGGTGGGTCACTTTTGTCCCTCCTTTCCGTAGCTGAAATCCCCTCCCGGAGCCCTCCAGTAAGGTACTGAGAGGGTTCAGAGAGAGGCAGAACCAGATTGGACTCAGACAATCGCCCTGGAAGATACCCCTTCTTATCCTTATGTGGTTCTCCGCAGCCATCATCCGCTCACCCAGATGACAAAGGATCGTACTCCACTGCCCCATACACTGCTCGAGGAAGTCTCTAACTGTACAGTCTATCTTGTACAGCTCGAGGACTCTCTTTAGCCATGTATGGGGCACCGAGTCGAATGCCTTTCTGTAGTCTATCCAGGCGGCGGAGAAGTTCCGACGGTTGCGTTTCACCACTTTGCCAATGACCGCGTCAATGAGGAGTGGTTCCTTGGTTCCACGACCACCGCCCCGACATCCATTTTGAGCGCGCGACATCACCTGATTTGAGTCCAGGTGACAAGTGATTCTCGCGCTCAAAATGGATGTTAGTGTCTTGTATATGGTCGGTAGACACGTGATGGGGCGGTATTTGCTCGGGTCTGTGATACCCTGGTCTTTAGGAACCAAATGAGTGATCCCAGTAGTGAAGAGGCTTGGGAGCGACTTTTGGTTGAGAGCCTCTTGAAACTGTCGGGCGAGCACAGAGTGACACCCCATGAACCCCTTCAGCCAGTAGTGATGCAGCCCGTCAAGCCCCGGACTTTTCCAGTTCGGGGCCCTACGGACCGCCTCAGCTACGTCATCCGGCGTTATGATGACGGGGTCCATGGGTGTAATATCCGCACACTGACTCGCCACAACTTCCGTCCAAGGGCCCTCGCTGTGGTTTACGGGCTCTGACCACAGGCCGCGCCAGAATGCTACAGTGTCGGCCTGATTCGGTGCTGGACCCGTTACACTTACCATTGGTCGCTCCAATGATTCATAGAGCCTCTTCTGATCACTCTGGAAGAGACGATTCTGGTTGAACCGTGTCGACCTCTCGGTATATCGCCGAATCCGCTTTCCCCAAGCAGCGATTCTCTGCTTCAGATCATCTATGCGCTCCGTCAGTTTTTGCGTTATATCCGGCTGGGACAAACTGACATTTGTCCCAGCAAACGCCATCCTGACGGTGCGCACAATTCTTGGCCTGTTGTTGCCTGATCTGAAGCATATCAGTCTGCCGATGAGAGCTCTAGCCTTTGCGATACGTTCCTCAATTCTTCTTCTCCATGCTGGGATAGCGCTACTATGGCCAGTAGCGCGTCCAGCCGTGTAAACCTTGGCGCCTATGATACGGCAGACTGCCAACGCGGCGCCAAAAATAATTGAGTCCGACTCGCAAAGGTCCCGGCTGGCTTCCAAATAGGTCACCAGCATTGGGTTCAGAGCCCTCACGACAGCCCGATTCCGCTTGCTTATGGCTATGCGGGGAAGTCGCGGTCGATTTTCGAGAGGCGTACTGCGCGTTTCCACAATCGCCTCTTCCAATGTACTCCTCATATGCTCTAATTCCAGTTCCTGGGCGACTGTTCCATCATCGTTTGAATCAACCACAACTGGGGTATTCACGGCGGCATCCACGTTTGCGGGTCGCTCTACCATTTGTGGCGCCGCATCCTCAGCCGTAGCATTCTCATCTGACGAGGGAACAGCCTCACGTCGTAGCCGTTCGAGTTCGGCGACATCAAATATATTTGAGCGCAAGATATACCGAACTCGGTCTGCCAGGTTTTGCTCTGTGACGGTTAAAGATGGCTCCAGCTCAGCAAAAAGACGATGCATCCTAGCCCGATACGCCAAACATCCAGTTTCTTCCCCTTTTGCCCTAAAGTACGCCCGCAATGCGTTTGCATTCATTGCTTGTGACCAACGCATGCGACGTGCTCCACCAGCGGCGGGTTCCGCTTGCTGAGTCCGAGAAGACCCAGCCGACACCAAGCCTTCTGGTGGGGATGATGGATGCGGAGGGCTGCTAGGTGACCGTGCAGCTCCTCGCGCTCGGCTGGCGGCCCGCATGCTGCCGCGTCCAGCGCCAGCTCCAGACGCGCCCCGGCGACCCCCAGGCAGCGGTCCTTTGCGCACTATCTTCTTATCCATCATCCATTATTTGGGCGTCCATTAACGGGAGACGCCCAGGCCCGGCACCGTTTCGTGTGTAGCCATAAGCACAAACGGGCCTCTGCACCCTAAATTCTGCCGAGGCACGGCGCTCACACCTCTCGCAAGGCGCTGACTGACTGCGTTGACGTAGCAGTTTTGTCACTTAACTGTTACGTCAGCGGGCGATGGGGTCGTCAATTCCCTACGCCTTTATTATTATTATTATTATTGTGGGGTATCTATATAGTTTTCTCATCTGGTTGGGTTCTATAAATATATAATTATAAATGAAAAATGAAAAGATAAATATACATAAATATCAACTTAAGCCATAAAATAAGAATATAAAAGTACATAAATAAATAAAAGCCCAACCAGATGATTTATTATTGTTATTATTAAAATGTGATCTGAATACTTTTCCTGATATTGTTATAGTTTGTACATAGCAGAGGCTTTAATAAAACCTTTTATGCATGTAACCTAAACATAGGCATGTTTAACGCCTAATAGAGCTATTAATTTAAATACCAAAATAAAATTAAAAAACACTTTCGAAAATATCAAATCCTACACTTGCAATAAATGTAAAATATGTTTCACTTTTTTTTAAATACTATAAAAGAATATTTGTTTTGCTGTAAGTTTTGCGAGAACACTAATTTTTACAAGACTTGGGCCTTAACGAAAAATCACATTTCATGCCCGTTTCGGTAAAACTAGGTAAGCCAAAGATAATAAATTATGGATACAAAATAGTAGTGTCACTTCACTCACTCCTGTGGCCGTGTTCTTGAAATTTACGTACGCGATAATATTTTATTGCCCATACTATAAATTCGTCGCTGCTTTAAGTTGTGTATTCGTAGACATGAACTAGGTTAAGAATCAATGGATATTGAAATGTGAAAACAATTACATATACGTGGTAGAGCCATGCTGCAGTTATATTAGTAGTATAGTTGTAGCACGAATGGGTCGGCTCGACCGGGGAAGGACCACGCTCTCACAGAATACCAGCGTGAAATAGTAGCTTAATGCTGCTGTATTTCGTATGGTGAGTGTAGAGAACCGGAGACCCTTTTTACTGGAAACGAGGCATTCCATCTCAGTCCTCACGGGTGACAACGCATCTGCATTTTGATTTTTAATGGAGAATAGATGTAGATGTCTATGGGCCGCAGCAACCACTTACCATCAGGTGAACTGTGTGCTCGTTTGTCACCCTATTCTGTAAAAAAAAAATTACATTTTCGGAGACAATCGTAGTACTGGAGTTGAATAATTTTATTTGAGTATATTTCATTAAAACAACGTTATTTAAAGCACTAGGTACTTATTTATGAAATGTTATCCCTTTATTTGAAAATTAGCAAGTTGTGGAAGAATTTCCGTAGTTGGATATGCTTCTAAACACCATTTTTACATCTATGCGTCCGAAACAACACTGGTGACCGAAACAAACGTTCCTCACGAGCTTGTGGCCTACGAGTCACATGTGCAGCGACAAGGTCACGCGCTTCTACGACTTCTATTGCCTTATTATTTAGATTTCTGTGACAACAACAAAATGTTTCAAGAAGAGTTTATTAGATGTACATAGGTAATATTTGAAAAACAGGCGAAATATTTTAGATGCTAGGTCGGTTTTTTTTTTAGCCGTACAAAGTAAAAATACACATCTACACATGTAAAAAAATTAAAAATCTATCTAAGTAGATCCTCCTCTCATTTGTCCTACGTTGAACTAAGGACCGTTCTTTATCTGCTCATAAAAGTCCAATGCTGTATGTACATGTGCCTCTCCCATTGTAGAGAGGTTCTGCCTAAATCGTGACGATGGGCACGTAGGATTGTTAACGTCGTAGCACACGTCATCTTTGAAGCGCTCCCTGCCAGATCGGATATTTTACGCCTGGCGTAATAATTATACCGGACTCTATTGGAATTTATAAGTTCTTTCAATTTAACGACAGCCATGGGACGAAATGAGACATTCGCACACAAGAGTAATAAATAATTATTTTCTTAATCATAGCGGCTGCTTTAGCTACTATTGTGCAACAGGCCTTTCTATATCTTCATATATAATAATAGAAACATATTATCTAGTATAAGATGCACTTCAGTTTTTTAACAATAAGTTTTGTGGTTAGGATAATCACTGCCTCCGCATCAAGATCTTAGGCGACTGCTACTACTGCGTGTCCGGGCTGCCCGAACCGCGCTCTGACCACGCGCGCTGCACTGTCGAAATGGGGCTCGACATGATCGACGCTATTGCGTGAGTAATTCCTATAGTTATAACGCTACCATTTACATTAATTTTTTTTTATAGGATAGGGTGACAAACGAGCACACAGTCCACCTGATGGTAAGTGGTTGCTGTGGCCCATAGACATCTACATCTATCCTCGATTACGAATCAAAATGCAGATGCGTTGTCACCCGTGAGGACTAAGATGGAATGCCTCGTTTACAGTAAAAAGGGTCTCCGGTTCTCTGCACTCACCATACGAAACTGAGCAGCATTAAGCTACTATTTCAGGCTGGTATTCTGTGAGAGCGTGGTCCTTCCCCGGTCGAGCCGACCCATTCGTGCTACAACTATACTACTAATATAACTGCAGCATGGCTCTACCACGTAAAAATACCACGTAATATCGAGATCCTCAAATAGCTTTGCATTTTATTAGGTATATGTAGTCACAAAGAGCCGTGGTAGCTCAGATGGTTAACGCTCGCTGTAAATATAACAGAACGCGAGTAACCCAGGTTCGATCCCCGCCGGCACCAATGAAATTGTTAATTGCAATTTTAAGTGCTGATTTACCACGTGGCCACGTGCTTGGCGGTGAAGGAAAACATCGTGAGGAAACCTGCATGTCTGAGGAATAAGGAAAAAAATATTTCGAAGACATGTAAAGTTCGCCAAGACGCATTGGGGCAGCGTGGCGGAAACTTCCTTGCCTTAAAACCCTCTCAGAAATGAGGGGAGGCCTGTGCCCAGCTGTGGGACGTATTATAGGCTGTAACTTTACTTTACTTTACGTAGTCACAGGAATTTAATTTAAAAAAAAACCTCCTAACGCAAACAGTAAATTTAAAATTTGACCATCATCCATCCATTTTACGATTGCGTCCGCCACTGCAACAACAATTGAGGGGTCAGGTGGATTACTGTAGGAACTATAAAATGTAAAATTAATCAAATGGTATGGAATTATAGTATAAACCCTACAAAGGCGTAAATTGTTTTTTTTTAAGTCATAGGTCTAATGAGTAAAACCTGATCGGCAAACGATGCGATTATCTGTAGCCGACTGGTGATGAAATGTCCAAACAATAATGCCAGACCCAAATCTTACATGTCTGTTTTGGAGAACAGGATTGTCTGTCAGGGGTCTTGTATCAGCACTATTATGTCCTTTCTTAAATAATTACCAAAAATAATTATTATGAGTAGAATCTCATTTTCATTGGAACTGGAATTTTTGAGTGTAGTATTATAATTATATTAATATTTTTATAATTAATACAACACTAGGAAACTTATCCGTACTAACTAATATTATAAATGCGATAGTAACTGAACTGATTTTGATGAAATTTTGTACGCAGACAATTAGAACTTTAGAAAGAGACAGGCTCATTTTAAAATAATGTGGTGAAAGAAGCCTATTTCGGAAGGGTTTAAAATAGGGAGTGAAGGTTTGTATGCAAGTCTTTCATTTTTGAAGCTGGAAAAGTAAAAATGTGTGTATAGGCTTCTGAAAAAAATTACGAAATATAATCAGAGGCGTAAAAAAGGAGGTGTTAATTTTTATGTGCCCCATAAAATGTTTTAGTAATTTTTGAAAAAAAAAACTAATAGTTAGTACTACTAGAGTAATAGATTCTTTATCTTTTCATATATTCAACAATACCTAAAAATAAACCTTACCTTCGGTGGCACGATGGCAGTCCTTTTGTTTATACTTCCTCACACCTCCAATGATAACATTTTTTTGTTAGGTGCAAGCCGCATTTCACCTGGGCAAAGCCGCGGGCATAACTAGTTTTCTATTATAATTTATAAGTTATATAAAAATTATGAAACAATGCAGAAACAACTATAAAACTAAAACCATCATTGTTAGATTAATTACCGTTAAATGGAACAATAATTGGCGTTTTTTTTTAATTTTTAATGAGCCAAACACTATAAATAAATATTTAAGGTGCCGTATAGTGTCGTGTAAAAGAATTCACATCTACATATCACCCCGTGGGCCGTGGGTGTCGTAAGAGGAGGCAGAATTAAACTTAAAAGGGCGTTGGGCAACAGCATTTTTTTATAAGATAAGGTGACAAACGCGCACACAGTCCACCTGATGGTAAGTGGTTGCTGTGGCCCAGAGACATCTACATCTATCCTCGATTACAAATCAAAATGCAGATGCGTTGTCACCCGTGAGGACTAAGATGGAATGCCTCGTTTCCAGTAAAAAGGGTCTTTTTTTCTAATAAAAACGCGAAAATATTTAAACAAGTACATCGGCTGCCGACTTGCTTGGCTGTGTTGGTCTGTATTCAGCTGTGGACTTTGGACGGGCTGTAACTAATGAACGTAGTATTACCAAATATCCAAAAGGAAAAAATTGATCAGGCTCAAGCTTAGTTTTTTATCAACATCATCATTACTAGTCTTCACAAGTCCACTACTAAACACAGGTATCCCCCAAGAAATGCCACAAAGCACGGCCTCGAGTCACTTGCATCCATCGACTTTTGCATTGCATCTATCACCAGGTCGTCACTCCATCTAGTGTTTTATGCCAACAATTTTTAATAATCACTAAGCGAAGTTGTAACATCATCACATTCAAGTCCACTGCTGAACATAGGCCTCCCCCAAGGAATGCCACAAAGCGCGGTCCTGAGCCACCTGCGTCCATAAACTTCCTGTATGTCTTACCAGGTCGTCACTCCATCTAGTGAGGGGCCATCCCACACTTCGCCTACCACTACGAGGCTGCTACTTGGGAACCTTGCTTCCCCATCGGTTGTTGGTTTATCAAGCTATATGACCGGTCCATTGCTACTTTAGCTTACTAATCCGTTGGGCTATGTCGGTTACTGGTTTTACTTCGTTCGTTCTTTGCGTGATAAGGTTATATATCCTCATTTATAAGCTTATCACGCGAAGACACCCCGAGCATAGCCCTCCCATAGTCGCTTAGGGACCTTGAGCTTCCTCATACGTCCAGCAGTAAAGGACCACGTCGCAGATCAATAAGTCATCACTGGCAATACGCACTAGTTGTACAATATCGTTTTCAAGTTTTGAGGTATACTTTGTCGTATGCTATAACAGCGTCACTACAAATCCGAAAACGAGATATTAGGAGCAACAAAGTAAATTTAACATAATATAGATTACGTTCCATGTCGCGAACACGCGGTCGCATGCGGGACGTGCAACAGAGCGTGTCGCGATACGCGCTTATCAGCATGTTGGTATTGGCAGCGAAGGAGCCCTGCGCTAATTTCACTGTCACGGCTGTGGGCGAGCCCGATAGGATTACTCAACCTATTACAATTTATGTATAATTTTATGTAGAAGTAAGGGTTAACAACACAATCCGCCGGATATAACATACATCTTTTCTCGATTAAGAACTCAGTTCAATTTATCAATCAGTTTTTACAATAAATTGAACACTATATACCAATCAATTTATATATAGTGTTCAATTTATTGTAAAAACAAAAAAGAAAGAAGTGTGCATGTGAATGCGTGTCAAAAAGTAGAGCATGGATTTTTATGGATTTAGCATCGATTGAAATGTACGCAGCGCATTCTTTGGTTGTCTGAGATTAAGAATCAAAATACAAATGCACTGTCACCCACTTCTTTGCTATTAAAAGAGTACCATAATGTATCCTGATTTATTATTAGTTCTGGTACCATCGTTATAACAATTATAAGTAGGCTAAAATATATTATTTTAACATATAGACAATAATTTTATTGGTTTTCTTAGTGTTTCTCTAGTCAGAAAGTATAATAAAATTATTTATTTTCTTATGTATATTATTATCATCGTTATACTTTTAAATATCAAAAGCAATACGTTTTAGATGTCGTTAGAAAGAAGCTAAATTCACGTTTCAGATAATAGTTAAAAATTAAAATTAGGGATGCCTCGATACGCCCCTTTTGCCAATACGATACCAGTGCTCTTATAAAAATATCGGCGATACCGATACCAGTGCGCTTATTGAATTCAAAAACGAAGGTAAAATAAATAAAACACAAGTCAGGTTATTTTTTATTAATATAAAAAGAACAAATAACAGGATAAACTAAATACAACCGTTTAAAACTATAGAAAAGTTGAGATTAGTTAATAGTTTTAGTAATTAATATTAATGAGATTTTTGTTTAAAAAAAAAAAACAAAGTATCCTTAAGTTTTGCGGAGAAAGGCGATTTCGTAAATCTGTTTGAATAATATCTACATTGGAAAATAGTCTCTCTGATGCGACAGAACTCATTGGAAACTAAAGTACTTCCGCGCCATTTTTTTTCAAGTTTGGGTATAAGACGTCATTGCGCCAGAAAACGAATGGATCTGCGCCTCTCGCCTTTTGCCTTTCTTTGAGAGAATTACAGCTCAGAGTAGACAGGGAAAACAAGGGCAACAAGATACTGAATAAAGCACGGGGTTTCCCCGAGCAAAGTTAGTTTGTGCCTCATTTGCAAGGAAATAGACGAGACAACACGCGCGTTTACACTATATTTTAAAAGCACTAAATTTGAAAAGTATCGTTGAATGGGTCATAAAAATATCGTCGATGGCGATATATCGGCAAACTTCGAATGTCGCCGATATATTGGCATCGATATCGGTATCGGATGCATCCCTAATTTAAAATACATATTTACATAATATGTTATACCATTGTTATTGTATAGTAAACAACAAAAGTCATTCAACAGTCGACACATAAGAAGCTACCGCAGACCACTAACCTCAATACCGTAATATGTTTACGACACCATTCGGTATTATATTTGAATAATTAGATTAATATCCTGGCTATCAGTCTCTAAGCTCCACCCTCCTCCCCAAAAATAAGCTAAAACTTTCCTTGTACGCGAGCAACTCAAATTGGATCCCCAACGCCACAAATTAAATTGTCAGTTGCAATTGTAAGTAAAATAAAAGAAGGGAACCGAAATGCCTTGTATATTAAAAAATATTTCGAAGACTGGACTTGTTGAGTCCATTACTCTCTT